TTCGAATATTTTCAGTTTTATAATAATTTTATAGAAACTGTAATATATTGTGATAGTGCATAATAATGATTTCTTGTTCTCAACGTAGTTGCAGTAGCAGAAGTAATGTTAATAAAAAATCTTCAGAAATATCGTTCCACAGGTTAGTATACAAATATATAAACAAAGTAATGGCCCGTACTTCAGAGAATAAATTAATACTATTTGACTGTATTAATTTATCTTTATATATAATATATCGTGTTTTTAGTGTTCACCGCGGGATAAATAAATCATAGTTTATTAAAAATGTATTGCATTTTTTTAGATTATGATTAAATCTTCTTAATAACTAGTCATATTTGTATAGTAGTTTTATTATTATTGAGTCTGGCCCTGATGCCACCGCCATATTGGTATTATCGTTAGCCACTCCTACCTATGCCGTTTTTAATACATACGTTAATATGCTCATAGCTTCTCCATAGATTCTAACTCGATGGTTTTAATGTAGTTAAAAATAGTTACTAATAAAATATTTATTGAGACAATTAAGCGTTGCCAGACTTCTGGTTTATGTATTTAAGATCTTATAAACTACACAAAATCATAAGTGTTACATATGGTTGAACTCGTATTGAATAGGAGATTTTAATAATGACTGAATATACAGGGTGATGAATTTGAAAAACCAAAGTTACTATTAATATAAAAGAAACGGCAAATCTGGCAACATTGCAAATATTAAATATGGAATCTCCGTATCCCAAAATAGGTGTAACTCAAATTTTGTACAATTATGTCTGATAATTTACGAGATAATTGGCCGTTTCCAGACTTTTGGGCCACTCTGTATGTTTTTAATATATCACTTTTAATGTTCGTTTAGTATAGATACTATTATACTCGTATCATATTTGTTTACATGTTACAATAATACTCCGGTCAATTTAGACATTTAAAATACCAAAAATTACCGGAAAGCCATATATTGGTGGAAAAATGGGATTTACCATTACAGAAAAAGTTTTAAAAATCCTTATCGATAGTATATTTTCCCTATAAAAGTTAGTAGAGGTCAAAGGTCAAAATTTGAGGTTTTTTGGTTTTATCTCAAAAACGGTAAGTTTTGTTAAAAAAACCCTAAGCCAAAGCTGTAGATCTTAAATTCTCTACAAAAATAATTTCTATGATTAGAGTTACCATTTCTGAGCTATCGCGTTTCTAAGAGTCACATTATAGACCTAAGGTTAGAACTGAGACTAAGAGCACTGAGATGCTACTTATTTTCGATACTGCAAAATGGAATTTAAAGCTGGACATTGAAGCAAAAACACATAAATCAGTTACAGTCCTTTAAAATGTAGTGTTATAGGAGGATGCTAAGAATATCATGGACACAGAAGAAAATTAACACGGAAGTATTGCGAGAAATGAGCAAAGAATCGAAAAAATAAGAAAGGGACACAATATCTGGGTCACGTAAGGAGGGGACAGCGATATGTACTGCTGAGGCTGATAATACAGGGAAAGATAAGAGGACGAAGGAGTATAGAAAGAGAGAAAGAGAGAGAGAGTCATGATTAAAGAATTTAAGGAACTGGTTTAAATGCAGTTTCATAGAACTCTTCAAAGTAGCAGTAGATATAGTAGAGATAGTGGTGATGATGTCCAACCTCCGATTGGGAGACGGCACTTAAAGAAGAAGAAGAGTGATATGCATACATTTTCACGATACCTGTGCGTTAGTGTACTCGGCGCATTTTTGTTTACCGTGGTTTTCTCTGTAGGCCTAGTCCACTAACTGTAATGACAATTTTAGTAAAATGTAAGGGAACAATGCCCGTTAAGTAGTATTATTACCTTATTATTTATATTGCTTCTTCTTCTTCTTTTTGGCTTTTATTTTACTAAATAATCAGCCAGTAAATTTGTTTTGTTAATTTTTGGGCCACTGTTGTGAGTCTGAGAATATATCTCATACCCTATAATCAGCAAATATAGATATTTCATCTACATAATATCTACATTTTATTTATGTTTTCTTTTTTCTTATAAGTGGTTTAAATGTTAATGTCGGATAAGTTATTATGAAGGTCATAATTTTATATGGTTGATTTTTCGACCATATAAAATCCCAAATCATATATGGTCAACTTTTCCAAGATGAAAGAGGTGAAATGCAGAAAATACAAGAATTAAATCCTTTAGAGAGACAGAAGATCAAGATAGATGAAATAAAAAATCAAATATGCTATCAAAAACTTTAAAGACAATGAGGCAGCTGGATTAGATCAAATACCAGTGGTACTGTTAAAACTAGTGAAAGAGGATAACTTGGAAGTATTGGCAGATTTATTCAACACGGTGTACGATACGGGAATAATAACACAAGAGTGGCTGAAGTCAGCATTTATAACCATTCCTAAAAAACAAGCAGCCAAAGAGTGCTCTGATTATCGAACACTGAGCCTCATGAGTCATACTTTAAAAGTTCTGCTAAAAATAATACATAAGAGAATATACGAAAGGCTAGAGGAGGATATTAGCGAGACGCAGTTTGGGTTCTGAAATGGAATGGGTACTCGAGAAGGACTATTTGCCATTAACATATTGATTCAGCGATGTCGAGATGTAAAGGTTGATCTACACTTGTGCTTCGTTGACTACGAAAAAGCTTTCGATAAAGTAAGACATGAAAAACTAATATCAATACTTATGAACAAGCGCATTGACAGTAAAATCATAAATATAGTGCAAACATTATATTGGAACCAAAGTGCCATAGTTCAAATTGATTAGCAACACTCAGAAGAAATGAGGATCTGTAGAGGAGTTAGACAGGGATGTGTTTTATCACCACTTTTGTTTAACTTATATTCTGAAGAAATTTTCCAAAACACGCTCAATAATATTGAAGCGGTAGTCAGCTTTAACCGAAAATTAATTAATAATTTAAGATATGCAGACGACACTGTGATCATAGCAACGAGTATAGAGGATCTACAACATATTATCGAAAGCTTGAGTATAAATAGTGCTGAGCTGGGAATTACTATAAACGCTAAAAAACGAAGTACATGATGATTACAAAAAGGCCACAAAATATACATCACCTATTGACAATAAATGGTAACGTGATAGAACAAGTAGAAACATATCAGTATTTGAGAACTTTGATCAATGAAACCAATGATCATACTGTAGAAATAAACAGGCGAATAGAGATTTTCTGATCAGCATTTATACGAATGAAACCCTAACGTGCAAAAATCTAAATTTGGAGATCAGACTACGTACCATTCGCTGTTATATATTTTCAATATTATTATATGGAGCTAAGACTCATTTAAAAAAATGTAATTTAAAAAGAATTGAGACCTTCGAACTCTGGTTCTGGACTCATAGAATTACAAATAAAGAAGTACTCGAGAGGGTTGGTAAAGAAACAGAACTAATCACCACTATACAAACCAGATAACTGGAATACCTAGGCCACGTGATGAGGGGACCAAAATATGAAAATTTGAGACTGATAATACAGGGAAGAAGATCTGTTGACCGAAGGCAGAACTCATGCTTAAAGAATCTACGTGATTGGTACCAATGCAGATCGATTGATTTGTTTAGAGCAGCAAGTTATAAAATAAAAATAGCCATTATGATTGCCAACCTCCGTAGGGAGACGGCACTCTGAGAAGAAGAAGAATGGTTGATTTGTAGGAATCTGAGAAGAATTTTGATAATTTTAGGGTTAATATCGCATAGAAGCATTGATATGTTAATTGGGGTTTTAATATTAATTTTGATCCGTTTCTGATAGACATCATCATAATCTTTTATTTTGTTTATTTGGCATTCCCAAAAATTTGTGTTCTAATGTTTCCATTTGACCACATTCACAGTATGGGTTATTGCGAATGTTCATTTTATATAAATGTACTCCTGTCGGACAATGACCAGTCCTCATTCTAATAATGGTAGTAATATGCCGCCTATATATGTTGGGGATTGTGTCAATCCATGGTTGATTGGGAAAAAATTTTTGTATGTTGATATACCACTTACCTTTATATTGAAAAGAATTTAACCAATTATTTTCATGCACAGAACATATTTTATTTTTTAATAATGGCTTGATGTCCCACGGTACTTATTCTAATTTTAACAGGAATATTTAATACAGCCCCAATATTTGCCAGTTTGTCAGCTATTTCATTTCCGTCGATATCATTATTTACTGAAATCCAACATAATATATCTGTCCCATATTTATTTAAATAGTATAGTTTCATTTTTACTTCAAACACTCTGTAGTCCTTTGTTGCAGTTATCATATTGTTATTAATTATGTCTATAGCGCTTTTTGAGTCCGTAAATATTATAGCTTTATCAATTCTGTTCCTCACAAATCATTAGGCCCTTTCGAATAGCTAATATTTCAGCTGTACAGATATTAATAAGTAAAGGAATTTTTTTTAAAAAGGAATAATTTATACTAGGTATATTGATATTGCTACTGATTATTGGGTTAACTATTGTCACAGTATAAAGAGGTTCCTGGAACCTGAATCCTGGAACCTCTTTATACTATGCTATTGTTTTGATTTCTTTAAGTATGTTATCAGACCACACCAGACTGGACTTAAAATATCTTGATAATTGTTGAATGAACATAGAATAAGCCGATGAATAATTATTATTGATCATACTGTTGTTAATATACGGTCGGAGGTTCATTCTCCCCCCTTTAAGTGTGAGATAGGTTACAATCTATGACATTCTTTGGTGACTTACTTGTCTATTATTCTTTTGCTTACGATAAATCCTAATCTCAAAGTATTCTTGTCTTCGTTTCTTTTGTTATGTATTAAAGACTGTCGGATCTTAGAATAAAATACTTTTAACCTGTTCGTCTTCTTTCAAAGATATAGTAAATATTACTCTAAATATAACTAATTACACATAGATAACTGTATTATAATATGAATGAAATAAAATTTTTCTTTTGTGTTTTTCAGGAACGAGTTTGTGGATTGCAATAGTAATATCATACCAAAAATAGATCTTCGATATTGGTCCCAATAGATATTTACACTCCTTTTTATATTTTTATTCGTTAGTATTTATTAGTTTTATTCTTATTAACTTTTCTATTACTGTATTATGTAAAGTTTTATCTTATGAATGTTTGAAAATATATTTTATCAGATTTTTAAAGCAGTATTTTTATTATTACATTTTCTATTAAAAGTAAAGTATTACGGAAAATGTATTAAAAAAATGTAAAAATGCAATTTATCGGTAATTTTCGTATTTTTCTTGGCTCTTTTTCAATTTTAGGTTATAATTTTTCTACGTGTGTCCTTATTTTATTCTATATCCTTGTAAATATCAAGAAACATTTCTCCTTCTGTACAGCCATGCTTGCGAAGGTATGTTATCAACGTGGCTAGTTTATTTTTAGAACAGCCGCTCTGAAGGGTTAAACTGAACCTCTTCCAAATCACCCCTTTAAATTTCTGACTCATAATATACGTCTATTCTACACGATAAGTCGTAACGTGCTTTAACTTTCACCTTTACTTTACTCTTTGTGTCTGGAAAACTATAATTTCTGAGCCAAGTATTAAGCTGTGTCTAATGCCAGTTGGTTGCCTGTCTATAAGTCATCGAAAGTGCGATCTATACGAGTAGTTTGGGAAGGCTAGTAAATGTTCTATTTTTTAAACCTTCCATACTCTGGTTCTCCTCAGAGCTAAAACCTGGCTGATACAAGTCCTCCCAACTCTGAAACAAGCTTGCTGTGGTATGATTTTAAGTCAACTGCTTTCTCTATGAGGTGCAGGATGTCTTTTATACAGCTTATATAGGTGTTAGAGAAGCGACATAAGCCGTTAAATATTAGGGTCCAAGCAATTCTGCTGGTGTGAGACATGGCCAAACGCTAGAGGGTTTCTATTAATTTCTTCTGTCGAGCTTCGTTCAGTGCTGTTATAAGAGCGTTACCACAGTCTATTGTTTTCTCTTCGAATTGGTCTTTGTTAAATAATTTTTCATATCTGTTTAATATTCTTTTAAAGACATCTGATAGACCTGCTATGGATTGTAACCTGGATCCTCTTGATATGTGCTGCTAAGACACCATCTTTAGGATTTATATGAAGGTTAGGTATTTTTCAGATGTTGAATCTAAGGCACCATGATCATGAGGAATAGCGAAAGATATGATTTGTTGCAATTAATTCTACAAAAAAAGTAGAAGAAGAACTAGGACCAGAAAACCACAAATCTTTTCAGAGCAGCAGTTTGCAAAATACAATTGATATAAGGTTGAATGTGCGAATAATTAAACTTTGAGGGTATACAAGGCAACTATCGAACACGGTGATTAATTTAATCTTGCCCAAGTACTTTCGATCAATAGATCATCTTCAGGAGCATCTGAAATAAGCCAAGATATGTTTTTTATAAAAAAGAAAAATTATTTCACTTGGATAAAAAACTCCAAGTTTATGGTTGAAAAAATTTTATATGTGATAAATAATTATAGACTTACTTCGTCAATTGTGGCCTATCCTGACATGAGTAGAATGTCATAAATCTAAAATTTGGACATAACAATACAAAATAAAATACACAAAGACAAACAAACACTTTAAAATTTTAAGGAGAAGCTACATATTTTATAGACGCCGGAGACAGAATGAGCTCCCGGTCTGACGGAAATATTGAGATGACATGTGACAAATGACAGCTAGTGAAGGGCAGTTATGTGATCTGCACCTTTCAAAATTTTATGAAACGTACGTTATACATGTTATACATGGAACGTCTAATCACCCAACTCAACATAAAATGGCTGCTTTCAATAGTTACATTCATCGGTTACTTAAATTTCCTCTTTTTGATGATAATTTTAATACAGAACTTAATACTCTTAAGCAGATTGCTTTCAATAATGGATATGATCCCAACATTATATACAAACTTCTAAATAGAGCTAAACAAAAAAATTGAAAAAAAGCTTGCATATTCTTCACAGTTTTTTCAACCGAATGCTTCAGATAACATCAGATATTTCTCCTTCACTTATATTAGTAGCATTTCCAATAAAATATCCAAACTTTTTACTTCTACAATTGATAACATCAAAATTTCCTTTAAATCACATAACACTTTAGTTTCCTTCTTAATCAATACCAAAGATAGGAATACACTTGATAAAAGTGGTATTTACAAATTAAAATGTGATGATTGTGATGCCTCTTATGTAGGTAGAACCATCAGAAAGTTATCCACTAGAGTCTCTGAACATTTGAGAAGACCAAATTCTTCAAGTTTTGGTCAACACTTAGTATCCAGCAATCACAATTTTGACATCAATTCTGGTTCATCTATCTTACATGACATTAGTAGAAAGAAAAACTATCTTGAGTTGGATTTATTGGAAGATTTGGAGATTACAAGGGAAACAAATGAAAACTCTCACTGTTTTAATACTCAAATTAATTTAAATTGTACTAAATTTAATCCTATATTTAAAAACTTTATTACAGCTTCACCTCGTAGAGGACCCAGCTCGACTGTTTAGACTTCATGCACTGAGCATTTCAATATTAATTTTAAAGTTCTTCCATTGACTGTGGATTCAACTGAACTACTTGGATTATAACTCATTTATATATTTTGGCTTCAATTTTGATTTTAACTTTTAGTAATTTAACTGCATATTCAGATTTTTCTTTTTTGCAGTACTGATAGCGCTTGGTGGACCATTTTATTGTAGTCAACCATTCACTGTCTAATATATTGTTAGTCTTTTCTTACATTCATACTTTATGTCTACTTCAATTGCTCTTAAACTAACATCCTAATTAATATAGACAGGTTTGAGTGTGAGATTGGGATTATTCAATCTACATAAAAAATATACTATATAATTTTATATTTCATCAGTTGATTTCCTATAGTGGTGTCAGTTGGACCTTTGGCCAACACTTAGTTTCATAGAAAATTGAAAGGTGCAGATCACATAACTGCCCTTCACTAGCTGTCATTTGTCACATGTCATCTCAATATTTCCGTCAGACCGGGAGCCCATTCTGTCTCCGCTTCTATACAACACGTAGCTTCTCCTTAAAATTTTAAAGTGTTTGTTTGTCTTTGTGTATTGTATTTTGTATTGTTATGTCCAAATTTTACATTTATGACATTCTACTCATGTCAGTATAGGCCACAATTGACGAAGTAAGTCTATAAATGTTTATCACATATAAAATTTTTTCAACCATAAGCTTGGAGTTTTTTATCCAAGTGAATTAATTTTTCTTTTTTATAAAAAACGTTTCTTGGCTTATTTCAGATGCCCCTGAAGATGATCTATTGATCGAAAGTACTTGGGCAAGATTAAATTAATCACCGTGTTCGATAGTTGCCTTGTATACCCTCAAAATTCAGATTGCCATGATAGTTGCTAACATCTGAAACGGATAGGCACTACAAGAAGAAGGATCTAAGGCTTTGAGTTCGGTATCCAGGTTGTCAGGGTACTTAGTCTAGTGGGCCCTATTGAAGATTAAGCGTATTCGGAAATGTATCTCGGTTGTTTAGATGGTTGCATAAATTTGGACACTTGTTGGCCAATGTTGAGTTAAAGGGATTGTACCATAGACATTTTTTATACAAATTGTTGAATTATTTCGCTTACAAAATAATCTGAGTTGCAGCTGCGTTTTTAGATTTTGCTGTTAATCCAACATCGCAGCTTGGTATCGTGCATTAGAGAGAGTAGGTTGATCTCTACCCATTCTCCCAAGAGCTAACCGTTTTAATCGGTTTCATTATAGTCCTTTGACGTACTGTGGCTGTTGAAATCTCCCATAAACTAGATTTCTTGTTTACCAAAGTTTTCCGGCATTGGTATGTTGTGGTTAGCTGGGTATTTATTAGATGGATGATACGGCAAAGGCCCCGCTCTTGATAGTGAGTATTTCATGGTCGTAGGTGTTTGTCTTTTCCGTAGATGTTATGACATAATGGTTTTTCAGAAAAATCCATTATGAAAAACCAAAAGCTGGTATCTTAGTGTTTTTTCCGGTGGTAAAAGGATTGGCCACTGCCTGTGAGGAAGGTGTTTAAAGGGATCGCCGGCATTATTTATATATCTAAGAAGGTAAGTAAGTGAAGATTAAAGGAAATGTAAGCGTGGGAGCTTATTCCTTGCTCCCCAACTTTTTAAAACGCATTTCACAACTTTTTTTATTTGACAGTTGTTTATGCTTTTATTTATTTCCCCTTTCTTTTCAGCACCTCCCCATTAGTAAATCCGCCCACCAATGGTATTTTCAGATCTCGCCTTTATACTTACATTTCAAATGTAATAATTCTTTGTTTGCTTCTCCGTTTAGAGTTGAAGCTTTGACACCGTAATAAAGTATACTAAAGAAGTCATATTTAATTAAACCAGGCTTTAAGTTACTTGATAAATCTTTACTACACAAAGCTACCTTTAATCTTTCATGAAGCTTTCTCTATTCCTTCTTTGTCGGTAAATATTACTGTATCATCTGCGTAGCGAATGTTGTTAAGCAGTACTCTATTGCTTTTAAGCTGGCCGTTTAATTTTCCAAACCGTTTGCATAATTTCTTCTGAATAAAAATTAAAAAAGTAGTGGCGACACAATATATCTTTGTCTCACTCCCCTTTGAATTTTTAGTCCGCGGGATGTTTCTGTTACAATTTATACTATACATAAACTAACTCTTAATAAATAAGTTATTTAGTTAAGAAGATACTTCCTGGGATAAAAATAAGTTATCCTTATTACACCAGATTTTTTAGAGAAAACTTTTCTCTTAGACTTGGTCGACCACAAATTGATGTCGGTTCAAGTTGTGCGACATTGAATAATAAAACAAAAGACCCAAATTTAAATGAAACCGCCAAATGAGTAGCAGTGGCGGAACTTCTGTTCTATAAGCCTTGGAGTAAAAAATGTTACACCAAATTGAAAAATGAAAGTGATGGTTCCAACAATTGTAACGTATTAGTACTAGCAATCGACTTTATGCAGAATATTCAGTTGAGAAAAACGCCTATATTTTTCTCGGTCTATATCTATCGGTCACAATATTAAAGATAATACTGCTAGAATGTTAATTTACTATGAAGGAGCAGGTGAAAAAACCGGTAATGAAATTTGTTCGTTTCTTTT